CAAAAAGAAAAAAGCCGGAAGTGGTGCTGTGGCTCAAGTGGTAGAGCGCTAGCCTTGAGCTGAAGAGCTGAGGGACAGCGCCCAGGCCCAGAGTTCAGGCACAACGACTGGACCCCCCCCCCAAAAATCTTAACGATATTTCATTGTTGTTGCTCCTATTCAATACCCTCATTGTGTTTCATAGATAAACTTAAATGAAAATTTGTATTTTATTTTATTTTTTTTTGCCGGTCATGGGGCCTGAACTCTGGGTCTGGGCGCTGTCCCTCAGCTCTTCAGCTCAAGGCTAGCACTCTACTACTGGAGCCACAGTGCCACTTCCAGCTTTTTCTGTTTATGTGGTGCTGAGGAATCAAACCCAGGGCCTCATGCTTGCAAGGCATGCACTCTACTGCTGAGCTACCTTCCCAGCCCCTGTATTTTGTTTTAAAACCTGCTTCTTTCTTTCCTCTACTAAGAACCAACCCATCACAGGTGTGTTTACCCATTAGTTATTTTATCTTTTTAAACCTGGGATACTAACTATGAAAATGGATTCGGGAATCCAAGTGAATGGGTGACATTGTCCAAAAAAAGTTCTCATTACCTGACTTACATAACTGTAACCCCTCCGTACACCACATTTATAATAACAATAAAATTACAATAAAATATTAGAGAAATAAAAAACCCTAAAAAAAGAAAAAAGAGGACCACCCCCAGTTTACCTAGGATTCTAATATTGGACAAAATCTGAGAAATGATCATTTCCATGTGTTTTCTTCTGGAACTGATTAAGTGTAGTCCAGATACATAACAAAACTTGCCCCAGATTACATACTTTATTTTAGTTTCTTGCCTTTTCCATTAAATAAGCTCATTTGACACTTACAAAACTAATATACTTCTATGGAAGATTGTTTGTTTTTTATTTTCTCAGCAGTACGTTAGTGTAATCTTCATACCTAAACTGAAATATACTATATTTTATCACAATTCTTCAGTTTTTCTTTCTTTTCTGAATTATTCTACAAGCAATACTACGATGTATACTATATGCACACAATAGGATAAATTAATTTCTGCCTTAGCTTTTGAGAGGTCAGTTGGCATAGCAGCACAAATTCTTTTTGTGAAGATTTACAAAATTGCTTCAAATTTTCCTTTTATCTCCCTATACTCTAGTAGATCTGTATGGTTTTCTACAGAGAAGAAATTCAGCTTTCCTACTTGTACTTGATAAAAATGAAGGACACTGATACCCTCATGCAAATTAAATTATACTTGTTTCTGAAATTTTACTGAATTATTTCAGGAACTTAAGTGACACCTTAAAACATTAAAAGGTTTCCATGGTCTAAATTCATTTTCAGACTGCACATGTTGCTTAGTGGTAGACTGTCTGTTTAAATGCACGTAATACTGCATTCAATACTTGGCACTACAAAATAAATCATTCTACTAAAAGAAGTTCTGTTTATACAAGAGTTGTGTTTAAAGATGAATGAGAATTTTTAGAGAAGAGACTAAGGAACTTGATTACTCAAGAAAGTAATCTGTAATATCTGAATTATAGAATGACATGCAAGAATTCAAGGAAAAAATTTATTCTTCTGGGGTTTTCAATGAAACTCAGACTTAGAGAACATAAATGCTGATAAAGTATTTTTCAAGTTAAGAGTTGATTTTTGAAAGACAAATATAAGTGATAATTCAAAAAGAAAATGCAATTTAACATGTAAATATGAGTCAAATGTCAAGTCTTTTCTCATAAAGTAATAACATGAGATTTTTTTCCATACTAGGAAAAGCGTATTAACGGACACTATCACCTTTTCTCCATTGAACAGAAATTCATTAAGACTAAGTAGAGAAAGAAAAGCTATAACTATTAAACATTTTTTAATCAGATTTGTAAAATCCTGTATAAATAAAACATTACTACACAATAAGCACTGGGGTGTTGTAACTGCACATGCATCATTTTGTAATGCTTTAATCTACGTATTCAGCATGATTCACTTTAATTTAAAGATATTTTGATTTACTGGATACTTGAGATGTAACTCACTAATATGAGGTAAAGAAAAAGAAAAATACTTACGCGTTCATCCACATGATGTCGCTAGACACCGCGCGGTTTTCACTCCCTCCACTATGGGAAAGAGGCAGTGACTACATTGTACTTAGAAAGGGGAAGGATCTTCCATTTTTCTGCTCTGTCACAGAAGCTCCAAAGCAGATATAACTTGGAATTCCGTTTTGTGAGGATATATTGCGTTGATGCAATAGAGATTAGAGAGGGGTAACAAGACTGCGATGCTATATTCCCAGAGAAAAAGTCCGGGATCCCGGTGTCTGCTGCTCTGGCTTCTGCTCCCCGCAATCTGGGAGGCAGGGAGCGGCCAGCTCCACTACTCGGTCCCAGAGGAGGCCAAACACGGCACCTTCGTGGGCCGCATCGCGCAGGACCTGGGGCTGGAGCTGACGGAGCTGGTGCCGCGCCTGTTCCGGGTGGCGTCCAAGGGCCGCGGGGACCTTCTGGAGGTAAATCTGCAGAATGGCATTTTGTTTGTGAATGGTCGGATCGACCGGGAGGAGCTGTGCGGGCGCAGCGCGGAGTGCAGCCTGCACCTGGAGGTGATCGTGGACAGACCGCTGCAGGTGTTCCACGTGGAGGTGGAGGTGAAGGACATTAATGACAACCCTCCTAGATTCTCTCGGCCAGAACAAACGTTATTTATTTTAGATTGCTGATTTATGAATCTAGGCTGCCGGATTCTTTCTTTCCACTAGAGGGCGCAGCAGATGCAGATGTTGGATCAAATTCTGCCTTAACCTATAAACTCAGTTCTAGCGAGTATTTTGCGCTAGATGTGAAAACAAGCAGTGATGACAACAAACAAATTGGGCTCAGGTTGAAAAAATCCTTGGACAGAGAGGAGGCTCCTGAACACAGCCTACTCCTGATGGCCACCGATGGAGGGAAACCCGAGCTCACGGGCTCTCTCCAACTGCTGGTGACCGTGCTGGACGTGAATGACAATGCTCCCAGTTTTGAACAATCTGAATACAAGGTGAAAATATTCGAAAACGCAGACAATGGAACAATGGTTATCAGAGTGAATGCTTCTGATCGTGATGAAGGAACCAATGGGGCAATTTCATATTCGTTTAGTAGCCTCCTTTCCCCCAGGGTTTTGGACCAGTTTAGCATAGATGGGAAAACAGGAGAAATTGTAATTAAAGGGAATCTGGATTTTGAACAAGAAACCTTATACAAAATCCGAGTTGATGCAACAGACAGAGGACACCCTCCGATGGCAGGACACTGTACGGTTTTAGTGAAAGTATTAGATAAAAATGACAATGCGCCTCAGATTGCATTGACGTCTTTATCCTTGCCTGTTCGAGAGGACGCTCAATTGGGAACCGCCATTGCCCTGATTAGCGTGTCAGATTCTGACTCTGGAGACAATGGGCAGGTGACCTGCTCCCTGACGCCTGACACACCCTTCAAGCTGGTGTCCACCTTCAAAAATTATTACTCATTGGTTCTGGACAGCGCCCTGGACCGAGAGACCACCTCTGACTATGAGTTGGTGGTGACCGCCCGTGACGGGGGCTCGCCTCCGCTGTGGGCCACCGCCAGCGTGTCGGTGGAGGTGGCCGACGTGAACGACAACGCGCCCGTGTTCGCACAGGCCGAGTACACGGTGTTCGTGAAGGAGAACAACGCGCCCGGCTCGCACATCTTCACGGTGTGGGCGCGCGACGCGGACGCGCAGGAGAACGCGCGCGTGTCGTACTCGCTGGTGGAGCGGCGGGTGGGCGAGCGCGCGCTGTCGAGCTACGTGTCGGTGCACGCGGAGAGCGGCAAGGTGTACGCGCTGCAGCCGCTGGACCACGAGGAGCTGGAGCTGCTGCAGTTCCAGGTGAGCGCGCGCGACGCTGGCGTGCCCGCCCTGGGCAGCAACGTGACTCTGCAGGTGTTCGTGCTGGACGAGAACGACAATGCGACAATGCGCCTGCGCTGCTGGGGCCTCCCGGCGGCGGCGGCGGCGGCGGCGGCGCGCGCAGCGAAGTGCTGTCGCGCTCGGTGGGCGCTGGCCACGTGGTGTCCAAGGTGCGCGCGGTGGACGCGGACTCTGGCTACAACGCGTGGCTGTCGTACGAGCTGCAGCCGGCGGCGGCCGGTGCGCGCAGCGCGTTCCGCGTGGGGCTGTACACGGGCGAGATCAGCACCACGCGCGCGCTGGACGAGGCGGACGCCGCGAGGCAGCGCCTGTTGGTGCTGGTGAAGGACCATGGCGAGCCGGCGCTGACGGCCACCGCCACGGTGCTGGTGTCTCTGGTGGACAGCGGCCAATCGCCCAAGCTGTCTTTGCGTGCCTCGGAGGGCGCCGTGGCTTCGGAGGCGACGCTGGTGGACGTGAACGTGTACCTGATCATCGCCATCTGCGCGGTGTGCAGCCTGCTGGTGCTGACGCTGGTGCTGTACGTGGCGCTGCGGTGCTCTGGGGCGGCTGTGGGGCGGAGCGAGGGCGCGTGCGCGCCTGGGAAGCCTGTGCTGGTGTGCTCCAGCGCGGTGGGGAGTTTGACTTACTCCCAGCAGAGGAGGCAGAGGGTGTGCTCAGCAGTGGTTCCATCCAATACGGATCTCATGGCCTTCAGCCCCAGCCTTCCCCAAGTTCCTACTTCTGCAGACAACGTGAGTTTCTTAAAACGTACCACATTTTTATAGCAATTCCTTAAATATATTAACTGTATTTAAGAAAGATTAATTTATGCATAGTTTAGCAACTTCCTATTACATATTTGTCGTTTAATTTTACTAATACATAATCTGTAATACCTAATACATAGTTCTGAAAAAGCTAGCCTAGTGGCCATAGCATATTTGCACAAAATCTTTCAGTCACTATGCTTTCTTTTTCTTTTCCATGTGTGTCATGTCTTACTATGTAGCACCAGGCTGATTTTTCTTTAACTCCAGACTTAGTATCTCAACCTACTTAGGAATTGGGATTATAGATGGGCTTGACCACTCCTGGCTGTAGTTATATTAAGTAACCAGTTAATCTTTTTTTGATATAAAATCTTTTGTTGTTGTTGTTGCTGTTCCTGGGCCTTGAACTCTGGGCTTGGGTGTTGTTCCTTCGCTCTTCAGTCAAGGCTAGCGCTCTACAACTTGAATACAGCACCACTTCCGATTTTCTGGTAGTTTATGGATATAAGAGTTTCACTGACTTTCCTGTCCCGGCTGGCTTTGAACTGCGATCCTAAGATCTCAGCCTCTTGGTTTAGCTAGGATTACAGGCATGAGCCACCGGTGCATGGCTGACATAAAATCTTATATAACAATATCCTAGTTAATCTCTAGAAAACATTATAGGGGAAATTGTGAGACCTAGAGGTTAAAAACTTATTAAAATCTCTATGAATGCACTGAATGCTTTACACCAATACATCAATTATGATTTTCCCTTTCTATTCACTTTCAATTATTTATTGACTATAGCAATTTACTTTCTTTTTTACTTTCTCATTTGTGTAGTAATGATTCCTTTCAACTTTGTCTTTGCTTTTGCATACTTATGATACATTTAATAATTTAATTTTAAATGTTCGGGTAGTGGTTCTGTTTATTGAATACCATTTAAAATTCTAGCAGCACAAATAGTACAGTTGAAACTTCTACTCTTTTTTTTTTTGCTAGTCCTGGGGCTTGTACTCAGGGCCTGGGCACTCTCTCTGAGCTTCTTTCGCTCAAGGATAACACTCTACCATCTGAGCCACAGCAACACTTCTGGCTTTTTCCGTTTATGTAGTACTGAGGAATCAAACCCAGGGCTTCCTTCATGCATGCTAGGCAAGAACTCTACCACTAAGCTACATTCTCAGCCTTCCATTCCACTTCTACCACAAATGTACTAAATTTTGTTTAGATTAACTCAAGATTTTTATTTCTAAAAATGTTTTCATAGAAATGTTTTACAAATGTTAGTATTGATTAAACTCATTTCCCTCTCTGTCTCCTTTGTCAGTTGTGGGATTTTCAGGGCCTGGGCGCTGTCCCTGAGGTTTTTTTGCTCAAGACTAGTGCTCTACCACTTTGAGCCACAGCTCCACTTAGAGTTTTTGAGTGGTTAATTGAAGATTAGTCTCATGGGAACTTTTTTAATGATCGTGATTCTCAGATCTCAGCCTCCTGAATAGCTAGGACTATAGGCATGAGCCACCAGCACCTGGCTAACTTTTTTACTTGTACAAGGATATTCTTCATTGTGCTGTTGAATTCCTTTTAATTTTTTTCATGTAATATTTCTTGGTCTTTATGGATTCTTAGGGAGATTTTCAATCCATTTATCTAGACCTATAGTTTTTCATTGTGTGGATATGCAATTATTTATTTTCCCAAAAAGTTAGCCCTGAAATTTGGTGAAAGAATCAATTTTCCTGAAATTTGCACATTTTCCTTTATACATTGCTTATATTGATAAGAAAGAATTGTCCAGTGTTTTCATTTAGAAAATCTTACTATATTTGTTTGGAAAATTTTCCTCTTGGTTGGGTATGTGGTGCACAGATGTAAGCACAACACACAGGAGATTTAAGTAGGAGAACAAGGAGCTTAAACCTGTCTCAACCAAGCTAAATCAGTCCAAAAGAAATACAAGACAAGCACAAACACTTGCAATATATAAACTCTCTGGTTTATAATTTTTTCTTTGGAGGATGAAGAAGTTACTTTATTTATAGAGACAATTTTCCTCCACTTTATATTCCCCTACAACTTGATTGAACTATTTGAATAAATAAAATGGAGAAAAATGTAGGCCCTTTGTTTACAAAATAATTATTATTTTCTACATGAAAAAAACCTACAAACCAACTAGATTGCATTATTACGCTTTGGGAACATTTGAAGAACTGCAATGGAAAGAAAATACAGTATTAATTTTTAGTTAATTTTTTTTGGGGGTCCGGTCCTGGGGCCTAAACTCTGGGCCTGGGTGCTGTCCCTCAGCTCTTCAGCTCAAGGCTGTCACTCTACCACTTGAGCCACAGCGCCACTTCCGCCTTTCTTTTCTGCTTATGAGGAATTGAGGAATCGAACCCAGGGCCCCATGCATGCAAGGCAAGCACTCTACCACTGAGCTACCTTCCCAGCCCTAATTTTTTTTTGTCGGTCATGGGGCTTGAACTCTGGGCTTGGGCACTATCCCTCAGCTCATCAGCTCAAGGAGAGCACTCTACCACTTGAGCCACAGTGTCACTTCTGGTTTAATAGTGGTTTATTGGCGATAAGAGTATCATGGACTTTCCTGCCCCAGCTGGCTTTGAGCCGCAATCTTCAGATCTCAGCCTCCTGAATAGCTAGGCTTATAGGCGTGAGGCACTGGTGCCCGGCTAGTTAATTTTTACCAGTAGAAAATTTAGGTAGAAAGTATGCTTTACTAGGGGCTGAGAAGATGGCTTAGTGGTAGAGTGCTTGCCTCACATGCATGAGGCCCTGGGTTCGATTCCTCAGTACCACATAAGCAGAGAAAGCCAGAAGTGGCACTGTGGCTCAAGTGGTAGAGTGCTAGCCTTGAGCTGAAGAGCTGAGGGACAGCACTCAGAGTTCAGGCCCCATTACTGACAAAAAAGAAGGAAGTATGCTTTACTTTAGCCATGCCTATATGACAAGCAGCCACTATAGAAAAGCTTCAACCAACACATTGCCACTATCTCTTTCATGAATCCTTATATTCTTCTAGGCAAAGGAATTTCTATATTTGGTGGCTGTTAGCAATAAAATTTTTGTTTTCTCACAATAGGAAGTCTGTGAAAGACCTAGAAAATAGACTCAAGTTAATTATTTTAACACAGAACTTCTAATAGAAGAAAGGCTTTGTTTTAAAATTTGTGAGGCTTTATGTGGAAGAAAGTGAGTGTAAAATGTTTTGTTTGAAAAATTTTATTGGTAACATGATTTTCTTTTCCTTAGAGGGATTTTAATCACTCCAAATAATAACATAAAGGATAAACTAATGGTCAAGTTGAAATTAGGGCTTTATGTTAAGATATGATTATCCCACTTTTGCAGATAAAAATAGAAGAATTTAAAAAACTCAGCTTGGACACATGTCATATTGGAGAAGGGAGAAATACACATTATTGTTTGCAAAATAATTTTGATATTGGAAAAAGTTGAAAATAAATAGTTATGATCTCCTTGTAGGTCACTCAAAGTGATTCTAATATCTTGGCATTTCTATGTTTAGTAAATTTTATTTAAATTGTATTCATAAAGATACATATGTAAAAAGGCAGATTACAGCCCACCTTAGAATAAGGTCAGCAAGGAGAAAGAGTAATTTAAAAATTCTGTTGGTGACATGACAGTGTTTGTGCCATTGAACCAAAATGCGCATTTAAATATTTGATTTAGGGCATTAATTATTAGTCTTGCTTCTATAGTACTTATGTTTTTATATTCTACATGTTTCTATCTAGGAGTCAGAATGTGGGGGTGAAGGTGACAGGAATATAGAACAGGGGGAATGCAGATGTGGGTTGTAAATACATCAGAAAGATTTCATTTGGAACATGGAAGAGGATGAGAACACATAAGAGTAAACCACATAGAAAGGGGGCTGAAGCTCTGAGATCAGGACAAGGTCATTTAAGAACAAGTGAAGAATCCAAAGAAACAAATCACAAATGGGTAAAATTTCCATCAGAAAGTGTTTAATATATGGGAGGGAAGTAAGTGAAGTGGGAGGACTAATATCAACTATCCAGAAGTTAATAAATTTTGTAGATTCAGGCATGAGAGCATAGTTCTGTAATCTCATTACTGGAGAAGCTACAGTAGGAGTATCTGGAGGGTAGCCTGGGCTACATAGTAAAATCTACCTCAAAAACTGTTGTAAATGTGCACTAAAATTACTATCCTATTATTACATGAAAGAGCCGTAAGCATATATGACATTTTACTGAGAAAAGAAACAATGGACGTCAACATCAATAAGGTTGAAATTACTAAGACAAAATTGTTAATCTCAAATGACATCATTTATCCAAAGCAATTCTGATAAACACAGATAGACAATTTTCTGCTTTAGCCAAAATTTATAGAATAAGTCACATTTCTAATTTCCAAGACAAGTTTGCATCATATTTGAAATGTCTAAACTTGGTACAAAATTTGAAGTATTGGATTGAAAGTTGTTTGCAGTAGATAATTATGGAACTTACTCTCAATTATGAAATGAATTACACATAGTGACACGGATTCTGAAATCACACACAAAAGGATTTACTCTAAAGGTAAGGTAAAAAAAATACTAAAGAATAATGAAAATACAGTGGTTATATGAATTCAGTACTTACCCTTTGGAGCCGCATGATGTCGCTGTCTACCATGGATTTACATCTAGCTAGTGTACAAAGCACAAGCTTTTTACTGCATTCTTCCAAGACTGCTGAATGATGGCGGACGCAGAAAGATTGAATTAACAGACGTGGAATCACAGATATTTTCTTCTTTATGCCGGAAAAAACTTCTAATGGAAATAGAACAGGAGGTATTTGATATGGATTTGACCACTGAAGGCAGACTGGGAAGGCGATGCTTCTTGCTCTGGCTTCTGTTCCTTGCTGCCTGGGTGGCAGGGAGCGGCCAGCTCCACTACTCCGTCCCCGAGGAGGCCAAACATGGCACCTTCGTGGGCCGCATCGCGCAGGACCTGGGGCTGGAGCTGACGGAGCTGGTGCCGCGCCTGTTCCGGGTGGCGTCCAAGGGCCGCGGGGACCTTCTGGAGGTAAATCTGCAGAATGGCATTTTGTTTGTGAATGGTCGGATCGACCGGGAGGAGCTGTGCGGGCGCAGCGCGGAGTGCAGCCTGCACCTGGAGGTGATCGTGGACAGGCCGCTGCAGGTGTTCCACGTGGAGGTGGAGGTGCAGGACATTAACGACAATCCGCCTGTGTTTCCAGTGAAGGAACAAAGATTGCTGATTTATGAATCTAGGCTGCCGGATTCTTTCTTTCCACTAGAGGGCGCAGCAGATGCAGATGTTGGATCAAATTCTGCCTTAACCTATAAACTCAGTTCTAGCGAGTATTTTGCGCTAGATGTGAAAACAAGCAGTGATGACAACAAACAAATTGGGCTCAGGTTGAAAAAATCCTTGGACAGAGAGGAGGCTCCTGAACACAGCCTACTCCTGATGGCCACCGATGGAGGGAAACCCGAGCTCACGGGCTCTCTCCAACTGCTGGTGACCGTGCTGGACGTGAATGACAATGCTCCCAGTTTTGAACAATCTGAATACAAGGTGAAAATATTCGAAAACGCAGACAATGGAACAATGGTTATCAGAGTGAATGCTTCTGATCGTGATGAAGGAACCAATGGGGCAATTTCATATTCGTTTAGTAGCCTCCTTTCCCCCAGGGTTTTGGACCAGTTTAGCATAGATGGGAAAACAGGAGAAATTGTAATTAAAGGGAATCTGGATTTTGAACAAGAAACCTTATACAAAATCCGAGTTGATGCAACAGACAGAGGACACCCTCCGATGGCAGGACACTGTACGGTTTTAGTGAAAGTATTAGATAAAAATGACAATGCGCCTCAGATTGCATTGACGTCTTTATCCTTGCCTGTTCGAGAGGACGCTCAATTGGGAACCGCCATTGCCCTGATTAGCGTGTCAGATTCTGACTCTGGAGACAATGGGCAGGTGACCTGCTCCCTGACGCCTGACACACCCTTCAAGCTGGTGTCCACCTTCAAAAATTATTACTCATTGGTTCTGGACAGCGCCCTGGACCGAGAGACCACCTCTGACTATGAGTTGGTGGTGACCGCCCGTGACGGGGGCTCGCCTCCGCTGTGGGCCACCGCCAGCGTGTCGGTGGAGGTGGCCGACGTGAACGACAACGCGCCCGTGTTCGCACAGGCCGAGTACACGGTGTTCGTGAAGGAGAACAACGCGCCCGGCTCGCACATCTTCACGGTGTGGGCGCGCGACGCGGACGCGCAGGAGAACGCGCGCGTGTCGTACTCGCTGGTGGAGCGGCGGGTGGGCGAGCGCGCGCTGTCGAGCTACGTGTCGGTGCACGCGGAGAGCGGCAAGGTGTACGCGCTGCAGCCGCTGGACCACGAGGAGCTGGAGCTGCTGCAGTTCCAGGTGAGCGCGCGCGACGCTGGCGTGCCCGCCCTGGGCAGCAACGTGACTCTGCAGGTGTTCGTGCTGGACGAGAACGACAATGCGACAATGCGCCTGCGCTGCTGGGGCCTCCCGGCGGCGGCGGCGGCGGCGGCGGCGCGCGCAGCGAAGTGCTGTCGCGCTCGGTGGGCGCTGGCCACGTGGTGTCCAAGGTGCGCGCGGTGGACGCGGACTCTGGCTACAACGCGTGGCTGTCGTACGAGCTGCAGCCGGCGGCGGCCGGTGCGCGCAGCGCGTTCCGCGTGGGGCTGTACACGGGCGAGATCAGCACCACGCGCGCGCTGGACGAGGCGGACGCCGCGAGGCAGCGCCTGTTGGTGCTGGTGAAGGACCATGGCGAGCCGGCGCTGACGGCCACCGCCACGGTGCTGGTGTCTCTGGTGGACAGCGGCCAATCGCCCAAGCTGTCTTTGCGTGCCTCGGAGGGCGCCGTGGCTTCGGAGGCGACGCTGGTGGACGTGAACGTGTACCTGATCATCGCCATCTGCGCGGTGTGCAGCCTGCTGGTGCTGACGCTGGTGCTGTACGTGGCGCTGCGGTGCTCTGGGGCGGCTGTGGGGCGGAGCGAGGGCGCGTGCGCGCCTGGGAAGCCTGTGCTGGTGTGCTCCAGCGCTGTGGGGAGTTTGACTTACTCCCAGCAGAGGAGGCAGAGGGTGTGCTCTGGGGAGGGCCCGCCCAAGACCGACCTCATGGCCTTCAGCCCCAGCCTACCTCCTCATTCTGCAGGGATGGATGTAGGGGAGCATCAGGAGTTGAAAGAAGATCGTTGTGCAATAGTAAGTCTACATATAAGTAATTTATGTTTAATTTTCATTTTATATTTATTGTGCATAATGTGTATTGTTTTAAAATCAATTGTTCTCAGTTTAGTATCTTTTTTCCCCTAATATGCTGTTCCTGCAGCTTGTCCTAAGGGTTTCTGGGTGCTGTCCCTAAGCTTTTTGGTCCAGGCTAGTGCTCGGTCACTTGAACCACAGCGGCAGTTCAGCTTTTTGGTGGGTATTTGGAGGTACTTTGTTTCCTGGGCTGGCTTCAAGTCAGGCTTCTCAGATCTGGGCTTCGTGAATAGCTAGGGTTACATGTGTTTGCCATTGGTGTCTGTCTATGTTTACATCTTTTTATTCTATTTCTTATTATAGTCTTTCATTTCTAATATTTATTGAAATACAATTAGTAAGCATTATTTCATGCATTCCACACCTCATGCATTTTTATATTGAAAGCGTCACTTTCATTTCACAAGTTCTTTTTCTTTTCACAGTGATATTTTCATTACCTATATATCAAGTATGTACATTTAAACTTTAGGAGATAAATATGTATATACGTTTTTTTTTTTCATTCTGGTGTCAGTCTTGGGGTTTGAACTTTGGATGCTGTCCCTAAGCTTCTTTACTCAAGACTAGCAGTCTATCACTTGACATACTGCTCCACTTCTGGCTTTTTGGTGGTTATTTGGAGATGTGTCTCATAGACTTCTCTTCCTGGGCTGGCTTCAAACTGCAACTTCAGATTTCAACCTCGTTGGTAACTAAGATAAAAGATGTGAGCCACTGACACCAGGCTTAGATTTGTTGTTGTTGCCAGGCCTGAAGCTTGAACTCTGGGCTTAGGTAGTGTCCCTGAGCCTTTCTGTGCTCAAGGCTAATGCTCTACCACTTAGGCCAAAATGTCACTTCCAGTCTTTTCTGAGTAGTTTATTAAAGGTAAGAGTCACAGACTTTATTGCCTGGGCTGGCTTTGAACTGCAATCCTCAAATCTCAGCCTCCTGAATAGTATTACAGGCATGATCCACCAGAGAGTTTGAAATATCATCATGTGTCATATACTTTTTGCTTCCTAATTCTTTTTCTCAGTGCTGGGAAGAAACTCAATCCCTCTGAAATTGTAGGCAAGGCCTCTACTACTAAGTTACATAACATTTCCAATTTATCCATTTCTATGGAAGTACTACCTTTAGTATGTTTTTTGGAAATGCTTTGCTGTTGTGTTTTTATTTCTGTCTCTGTCTCTGTCTGTCTGTCTGTCTTTCTATCTAAGGGACTTGAACTTGAACTTGAACTTAGGGCCTAGAGCTCTTACTTGGAGGCTCCAGGCTAAATTTCTTCCATTTGAGCCAGGTGGCCAGTCTGCATAGTATGTTATTTTACATATTCCCCAGTGATCATTGTTTTCCATGAGTGTTTAGGTTTCATTTGAAACCATTTAGGAATAACGATGAACATCTGATGGAGATGAAAGTGTGAGTGAGATATTTTCATATGCTTTAACCATGTTTTATGTGTGGGTACTACTCGATTTGTTAGGTATGCAAATAATATAGAAATTCTAATTAGAGATAATTTGACCTTTGAAAAAGAACATTTATATGACATATGTGTCCTCTTGCTAGAGAGGTGGCTCAGTGGTATAACTCTTGTCTAACACATACATACTCTAAGTTCTATCCACAGTACTGCAACAAATGAATGAGCAAACAAAACCATTAAAACCCCTGTATTACTATGCCCTTGCAACTCTCCTCTTTTTATTTGTATCTCTGGTGGGTCATTTTTCAATGGAGCCTCAGATACTAATGTGATCACTATTCTCTGTGTATAGTTAACCTATTATTTCTTTACTTGAAAGACAAAAAAAATTAGTGACAAAACATTGGAAGTCTTGATGCTATCCTTCTATGCTGTTTACCCGTTTGAGTTTCATTTTGTGCTGTTTTAGATAGAGTGTTTATCTTTAAGCTCTCAATTTCTGGCCTATAATATTAATATGATAAACGGTTGTCCTTAATATACAGGGAATTGCTGCAAGTATATAGTAATTTTAATGTGGTGTTAGTCTGACAAATATTAATTGGGTAACTAAACTTAGTCTTAATATTTTAGAGGACCATTAAACTTTTTATGTCAGTTTATATCAGGAAAGTGTCATTATGAATTCCATAAGATTTTAATTTTATGTAAAGGTATTTGCTATTTGTAGGAAGGCCATGATTGCCAAATTATTCTGAGATATTCGTAGCATTTTAAAAGCCATGCCTTTTTAAAATAATTTAAGATTAGATCCCAAAGTTCTGAATTGAATTGACATCTGGCAGTGGAATAATTATAGGATTCCAAAGGTACATAAAGTGCTAAGTCCTCAGTGACTTGCTTCTTTGCATAGGACTGAAGTTTACACTCAGCCCCTCCAGCTCATATTGTGCTCTGCCATTTGAACCATGCCCTCAGTTTTCAAAAAATTAATTTATTTTTTGGCCAGTGTTTCTAGTTTGTTTGTTGACCTTCACTGTGATTCTCCTACCTATGGCCGTCTTCATACAACCATGTCTGGCTTGTTTGTTGAAATTCAGTCTTACCAACTTTTTGGCCAGCTTGGGCTTCCATGATCTCACCAAGGTCTGTCTCCTGGGTAACAGGGATTACAGGCTTGATTTACTGTGCTCTACCACCTCAGTGACTTCCTGAAGATGGTGTTGGTATTTTGTCAATATTTTTTCAGGAAACAGCAGATAACATTAAACTTGGATTGCATATTTTTCCATATTTAAAAATTTCTCAAGGTCTATTAGAGGACTGGGGGGGTTGTTCTCCCTAATGTGTTCAGTTTCAGTTCTGAAAGGTCAGATACCATAATAATATCCTGTTTTTTAAGAGTATATAATTTTATTTTATTTTATTTGGGTCTAGTTGTGGGGCCTGAACTCTGGGCCTGGGCGCTGCCCCTCAGTCCTTCAGCTCAAGGCTAGCACTCTACCACTTGAGCCACAGCACCACTTCTGGCTTTTTTCTTTTTGCTTATGTGGTGCTGGGGAATTGAACCCAGGACCTCAGGCATGCAAGGCAAGCGCTCTACCACTGAGCCAACTTCCCAGCCCCAAGAGTACATAATTTTAAACCCACATTAGTATTGCAAAAATGGAATAAGAAGAAAACTTCCCCAATCCTCTACACATATAAGAAAACAAAATCACCTATAGATGAAATAATCAATGAAGCATATTATTGTATAGAAAAATGACATTCAGTAATCCCTAAACAGCTTGATTTCTTCAAAGGTAGAGAAAAACCATAGTTATCATGACTGAGTGAACATTTTAAGTTTTTAGGAGAGTCTCTATAAAACTGTCTTTCAAAGAAGAGTTGAATCAACTCTTGATGTCTGACTCGAAGAATTTCATGAAAAATTAAGATGAACCATACATACCATGACCATAATAGAGGCAGACCATTATAAGAAGTTCAAGTAAGTTATATCTTAGTGTGGAAGAAATAGAATAGAATTTTCTCTGTCTAGTTCTCTGAAGGAAAGTTTCAGAGTAATGATAGTTTTGGTGGTTACAAAATGGAGACATTTCCTTGGGGACGTATTGAGAACAATCAATATTCCTGGGAAGAGGAATTTAAGTAAATGAGTGAATACAAAATTCCAAATATACCTGGAACAACCTACATTGAATAAAGAAATGGTTCTCATATGAATGAGGTAGGTAAGACAAGTAAAATGAGAAAAATGCGTTGGGACTGTTGAGTACTATACTAGAAATGGACTGTTCTGAAAAGCTACGTGAAAGTATCATATGGTGTGGACGAACACTGAAAAGAGCACTTTGGGAAATAAATGTAAAGATGAAGTGGAAGAAAAGGTGAAACCACAGGAAACTTGCAATAGTCAAGGACAACAAGAGTCATGAAAACTAATGCAAACAAATAGAAAACTTGAAAAGCATTTGAACACACAAGGAATTATTCTCCTAGAAGTTGGGAACCCTGGGATCCAATGTTTGCATACAAGAAAGGTAACTCTGGTAAGTAGATCCAGAAAGAATAAAGTATCCCAAGACTTGATTAAAGAATTGCTGTAAAAAACATGGATGTCCTCCAAAGTTTAAGTAATAATGAAATTTATAATATGAAAGAAATAAACAATATCATATTAGAGACACAAAAACAGATGTGTACTCAGGAGACAAGATTTAGAAAGGATGGATTGAGTAACTAAATAAGGGTATCACAAATCCCTACAGAAGAATATATAAATTTTGAACAAGACTTTTAGAATACTATTTTTCTATTTTTGTTTGTTACCTTAACAAACAAAATCTTGCCTTCAAAGACTCTCCAAATCCACTAGTACTTCTAATATTAAAAATTATTTGCATAGTTGATCTTTAAAAGAAAAAGAGAGGCATTTTAACCTTTTCTTCCATTGGGAGATTCTTAAGATACTAGATTGATATCAGCATGCTCAGTTTTCTCCAGGGGGTGATACTGAAATTAAGAATATGGAATTTTCTGAAACTGAGGAATTTAAACATAGGTTGAGTAATTTTATTGACACTTAGGTTATTATTGTTTTTAAAATTATGGAAAAGATTTTCTATGAATATAGGACACCGAGATTATATTCACATTACTCAGAAGCAACTAATCACTAAGAACACAAAAAAGGGTGAGAAGTAGTGCTTTATATTTGAACTACAGTGAAGAAAAAACTTCAGCTCGAAACTCCAGAACCTGCAATAAATTTCATCTTATAGAATTAAATTTTAAAATTCCCACTTACTATTGCTGCCACATGATGTCGCTCTTATCCATGAAGTGGTTTCAAATTCACAAACCGAAGTCATTTCCTTTGCAATCGGAGAGACGCCCCACAATCTTAACTCTTCGGATGCTCAGAAATGGACAGCATATCTGGACTGAAAGAGGTGGGGTACTTTAAATAACTGAGGAAACCTTCGCTGATGATTATCAAACGTCACAACTGGAAATGGTGTACGTCAGAGAACACAAACTGGAGAGCAGACAACTCCTGTTTATGATCATTATAGCAGCTTGGAGGGCAGGGAGCGGCCAGCTCCACTACTCAGTCCCCGAGGAGGCCAAACACGGCACCTTCGTGGGCCGCATCGCGCAGGACCTGGGGCTGGAGCTGACGGAGCTGGTGCCGCGCCTGTTCCGGGTGGCGTCCAAGGGCCGCGGGGACCTTCTGGAGGTAAATCTGCAGAATGGCATTTTGTTTGTGAATGGTCGGATCGACCGGGAGGAGCTGTGCGGGCGCAGCGCGGAGTGCAGCCTGCACCTGGAGGTGATCGTGGACAGGCCGCTGCAGGTGTTCCACGTGGAGGTGGAGGTGAAGGACATTAACGACAACGCGCCTGTGTTCCCCGCGACACAAAAGAATCTGTTTATCCCCGAATCCAGGCTGCTTGACTCTCGGCTTCCACTAGAGGGCGCGTCGGATGCAGACATCGGAGCCAATGCTCTGCTGACTTACAGACTGAGCCCCAGTGAATATTTCTCGCTGGACGTTCCACCCAACCACGAGCAGGTAAAACCTCTAGAGCTTGTCCTGCGCAAGCCTTTAGACAGGGAAGAAGCTCCGGAGCTCTACCTATGGCTCACGGCCACGGACGGAGGCAAACCCGAGCTGACTGGCACAGTTCAGTTCCTCATCACAGTACTGGATGCCAATGACAATGCTCCGGTTTTCGACCGGACGCTGTACACAGCGAAGCTGCCAGAAAACGTTCCCATCGGGACTATGGTAACTCACCTGAATGCCTCAGATTTAGACGAAGGTGTGAATGGGGAGATCACATACTCCTTCTCCAGCAATGTTTCTCCAGAGATAAAATCCAAGTTTCACATCGACTCTGTGAGTGGGGAAATTACAGTGATAGGGCTTATTGATTTTGAGGAAAGGAAAGTGTATAACATCCAAGTAGAGGCATCAGATAGGGGCCTGCCCCCTCTGGCTGGCCACTGTACAGTTCTGGTGCAAGTTGTGGACATTAATGACAACGCTCCACAGTTGACTCTTACTTCCCTGGCTCTCCCTATTTCTGAGGACACGCAGCCAGGCACAGTGGTAACTTTGATTAACGTGTTTGACAGAGATTCTGGCAACAATGGGCAGGTGACCTGCTCCCTAACACCTGACACACCGTTCACGTTGGTGTCCACCTTCAAAAACTATTATTCTCTGATACTGGAGAGCACTCTGGACCGGGAAACAGAGTCGACTTATGAGTTGGTGGTGACCGCGCGTGACAGGGGCTCGCCTCCGCTGTGGGCCACCGCCAGCGTGTCGGTGGAGGTGGCCGACGTGAACGACAACGCGCCCGTGTTCGCACAGGCCGAGTACACG